ATGTTAATCCTGGAACGGATTAACGTCACTATACGGGGCACCACTGTAATTATATTAAATTCCTAAACCATGAGGTAATTAGTATACATGGGGATAGCACTAATGAAAAATGCCCAGCTTAAGGCCACATTTAGCATGCTCAAATATAGCAAAACATGACCTTTTGTTGTAGATAGTGAGTATTACAGCATCTCTGATGCACTCAGTCCAGGTATCTGTGTTTCAAGGACCTTCCAAGTACAGTGGTGCCTCGCATAATGAGCGTCCTGTTTAAGGACGAATCTGCATAGCGATGCGGATTTTGCGATCGCAAAAGCGATCGCATTGCGATGTTCCCCATAGGCCCCATTTCCCCCCAGCTGACCGGCAGGTGCTTCCGAAGCGCCTGCCGGCCAGCTGGGCAAAAATGCCGACAGGGACTTTGGGAGGACTGCGAGGGAGTCCTCCCCTGCGGTCCTCCCAAAGGCCCCATGTTCGCACAGCTGATCGGCGGTTCCAAAATGGCCGCCCGCAGCGTTTTCACACCGATTCCTTGCTTACCGAGGCGGCGAAAATGGCATCGCTATGGAGGATTCCCGCTTAGCGGTGAGTTTACCCCCCATAGGAACGCATTAAACGGAGTTTAATGCATTCCTATGGGGTTTTTCTTTCCGTTTAGCGATGTTTCTGGATAGCAATGTTAATCCTGGAACGGATTAACGTCGCTATGCGGGGCACCACTGTACATATATGAAACAGTCTGTCAAGAAAGTCTCTTTCCCTATTTCTTCCTTTCCTAATGTAAACTCTTGTTGATTATCTAAAACAGAGGACTAAAACTTTCTAACATTCTGGTTCTCAGCAAGTTGATTGGCTAACCAGCTGAAATCCAATACAGTGGGGTCTCTACTTAAGAACTTAATCCGTATTGGAAGGTGGTTCTCAAGTGGAAAAGTTCTTATGTAGAATCTGCATTTCCCATAGGAATGCATTGAAAACCATTTAATCCTGTATCTGCTCTTTTCCGTCCATAGAAACTAATGGGAAGCTGCTATTCCGCCTTCTGCCACTAGAGGGGGATATTTTTTTCTTTTTTTCTTAGGTCAGGGAACAGTGTTAAAAGCACTTCTGACGAAGCTAATTTTGAAGCAATGGACTGAAAACCAATTAATCCGTTCTGGCTGTTTTTTTGTTATGTAGAGGTGCGTTCGTTCATTGAAGCATTAGTTCCCATAGGAACTAATGCAAAGCTGGTTAATACGTACTCTACCACTAGGGGGAGAATTTTTTTTAACCTAAGATGACCTAAGGTTAAAAAAAGAGCAGGAAAGGTATTTTTTCCTGTTGTTATCTAGGATTTCTGTTCTCAAGTAGAAGCAAACTTTAGCAAACGGAGCTGTTCTTAAGTAGAATTGTTCTTAAGTAGGGACGTTCTTAAGTAGAGACCCCACTGTACCATTGCATACCCTGATGAGACCAGCATAATTAGGTAAAATCCTGTTCGCATAGATCCATAGCACAAACTCATCAATAATTTAAACTAATTAAAGGGTTTCACTTTTTCAGGTTCTGAGGCTCCCTAGGGTTCCCTTTTGACCTGGCAAAGAATTTGGGAGCCTTCGAATGGGGGGCAGGGGCCTTAGGGCTTATCCAAACAGATATATAGATTGGTAGTTGGATCTCTGGATTGTGAGTGGGGTTCAAACCAAATTGTGTTGTCCACATGTGTTTCTGCTTGGATCGACCCATCTGCCCCTGTAAGACCTGTCCCACTCCTTTCTGGTACAGGGCTAGGGGCTTCTTCTTCTTTTGGCACAATTAGTCACACTTTCTAATGGAGAAACCCCCTCCTTTTTTAATGTTTCCCTAACTGACACAGCATAATTCTGATACCATGCTAAGCTGATGCATTGCTTTAATATGGTACTTACTTTATTTAACAACAACAACAACGAAGGAAAGTCACTGAAGCCTGCAGAATGACAGCTATGAGAAAAGGTGGGGAAGGGGGCTATGTCAACTCCATGGACTCTGTCCCCAAAAGGCAGCACAACTCTGGCTGAGGAGAAAGATCAGTATTTGGATCTCGATCCAACGTTTTCACCCCATGCCAGTCCCATTGCCTCCTTACTGTACTCATAAACATCTGAGTAAAATGTCAGTCTGAAGACTTTGTATGGATCCGTCTCACTGGAGAATAAGCATTTCCAGTGTGAACAGGAGTGCTCAAGCAAGAGATAAAATAGATCACACTGAAGATAAGAATCTTTTAAGTACGAAGTAGACCACTCCAAATTCCCCTATCTGGTCTGACCCTTTAATAGTATTTTAAAAACTGCTGCTGAATTACCCCCAGCAGGATTGGGACCATCGGTGGCAATCCCACAGTGCTTTTTAAAAAATTGTTGAAGGCTTCAGCCCATCCTAAAGCTCCCAGTGGCTTCCCCAGGGCAAGGAAAGCCTTCAATCAATATAAATTAAATATTACTGGTGGTTCAATGATGACATCACTGAGTTTGCACCATGGAACTATGTGAAGAGGATTTTGGCCATTGTCTGCAGCAATGGCTCCCAGCCTGGGGTGACCCAGGTATTCTTGGACTATCTAATAAAGATAGCGCTGGAAACTTGCATACCATTGGTATAATAAATATATCATCTCAGTATGGATTTTGGAGTTTATTTTATACCAACAGGGCTGTTGTTGGCTTTGTTTACTCCTTATTATCATGCAACTTATGAATTGAAGGTCTGCCTTTTGAACAGGGATGTGGCTGATGTTAATGAAAGGTCACCCCAGTCAAACAGCATAATGCTTGGCAGAACTTTGAATTGTTCATACTTTGACAAGATGCTTTGCTAATCTCCATGAAGAGTCTAGGTCTTCTAGCACAGTGGTCCCCAACCTTGGGCCTCCAGATGTTCTTGGACCACAACTCCCAGAAGCCTTCACCACCACCTCTGCTGGCCAGGATTTCTGGGAGTTGAAGTCCAAGAACATCTGGAGGCCCAAGATTGGGGACCACTGTTCTAGCACATTAAGCATAGACTTGAAGCGAACCACTGCTGCTTTTCTAGGACTTGTTCTGCTTTATTTTATTGTGCAAATACCCATTGTTCATTTATCCCCCACTCTGTCCATATTTTTACTTAGGAAAGTTACTTAGATTATAGGGTTGAATTGATTTCTTATTTACATCATCAAGGCTTGATCTGTTCCTCATGTTGCAGATTGTTTGAGTTATGCTTTTCCCAGTGAGTCATGGAAAGAGAAAAAAAGATGGAATAAATGTTGGCCATTCAGACTTCAGGCTTTTAGTTTACTGTGTACCTAATCCTGAGTTACACACCCTGACAATGAAGTACTGTTTGCCTTGCCTTGTACTAAGTTGGAACAGGTGATAATAAGCATGGAGAAAGAGACAGGCATTGATACTGTCAGAAATTCTTGTTCTGCTTGTCTTACTTTTAAAACTTCTTATTATAAAATGGAAACTTTTATATCTGTGCTCTTTTTTCTCTCTCTGCAAAGCAGCTATCTGCAACATTTTCCCATCTTTATCCATTAAATTATATAGAATATTGAAAAGTTAGCATTTTGGTAGAATGGACAGGAAGGGAAATTGCTTCAGCATCATTGTAACTTGTGTCATAACTTACAGCCTTTAGCCAGTGTAACTTAAATAGAGATTTGTGCCTGTAAATTGGGTTTTTATATTTTGTAAGTAGAAAGAAATAGGCAAAACACTAACAATCCAGTACATCATCTTTTTCTAAATATTGGAATAGTTTTTTTTATTATTATTTTAGGTTACTTGTAAGCACCCACCAAGTCCATCTGCAAACTTCAGTTTTTCTGTATCTGTAGCTGAACCCTTCTCTTCTAATATTGCAAATATTCCAAGACAGTTAGTGGATGACATTCTGGAAAAGATGGATTATTGTGTACCTCTTTTGGAAGTCTACCCTGTGGAGGGGCAAGATAATATAGTGTTTGATATAGCCAAAGCACTGGAAATTGTGAGGTATGTTTTTCTTTAAATTGGTATTCAACAGAGTATTAAATGTAAAGTGTATGTGTTATGACAGAAACAAATGGAAAACTTGCAGTATCACTGCATGTTAATTATTTTGATTAAAATTTGAAAATGTTTCATTGCAATTCAGACACCTGCAAAGTTATCTTATTATTAAGGCTAAAGAAGTGTGTGCACGTTCCTTCAGCCCTCAAAAATGTTGAAAATATACAATGTGGCTCTCAGGCTCCAACGTTTGGAGACCCCTGCTCTAGGGGACTAAAATGGCCTGGCCTAATATGTCAAGGCTTATCTAACCATTGAATTTGGATAAATTACATTTCTTTTAGCTAAATAACAGAACAAATTAAAACCAAATAATTTGGGATGTGGAAATGGTTGATATTCTAATGATTCTGTACTACTGTACATTATAATTATACTTATTTATCATAAAAGTGCATGTCCTGATCATTATTTTCAAAAAATCAGGTTGAGCAAAAATGCAAGCCTGTTGAAATAAAAAAATTTTTTTTAAAAGAAAGCTGAAATCCTGTTGCTTAGCATAGTAAGTTACACTAGAGAAGGCCGAAGAACCAGTGGGGATTTGGTGTGTCAGCTTCTTCAGAAATTCCATTGATTCAAATTGGCTTACTGCACTAATTTACTACAACTTACTATGTGGTGCCACAGAATTTAAACCACTGACATATGAGAATAAAATGTGTAGTAGTATTTACAGACATCCCAGAGACAGGTCTCAGAAGGATGATTTAGCTGATAAACAGTGAAAAGTACCTGTATCTAATATGGCAGCAGTAGTAATAGACTTTAAAAGTGGAGGCAGGCAATGCAATACAGTTCTGTTGTACTTCAAATGAGAAGGTACTACAGGTATGCTGGTAAAAATCAGTTTCTAAATGTTTACATTGCATTTTCTTTCTCTTTCGTCTTGATAATATAATTTTGCTATGTTTTAAGTCTTTTGGCAATAAATGCTTCTAAACTTCATTAAAATATACAGTCAGGTATTTAAAAACAATATCAATAATTTTTACTTTGGGTCTAATCTAGGGTTTTTTGTTTTTATTTTAATTTTTTAATTATTTTTAACTATCTAACATATAATCAACAAAACAAAAAATAAAATATAAAAACTAACAACCAGGGGAAAAAAACTACTAACCTACTCCTATGGATCAGAAGATTTCATCATCGTCTGGACCTCAAATGTCCTCAAGAGGATTCCGGTGGGCACTGACTTCGCTATATACTCAATTTCCCCCTAAGCTCCTGTCTTTTTCTGGGCCCAAATATATATCAGCTTTCAACTTTGCTTTACAAAATCTCTTGGTTGTTCTCGTAGTGCCTCTGAAAGCGTGTCTAGTTCTATAATGTCCAGTAGCTTCTTTAAAAATTCTTCCATTGTTGGTGTTTCTTCATTCTTCCATTTTTGGGCCCAGAATAATCTAGCTGCTGTAAATATATACAGTAGACTATATTTTATTTTCTTATCAATAATTTCTGGCATTGTATTCAATAATAACATTTCAGGTTTAAAATTTAATTTTTGTTGAACAATTTCTCTTGCCATATTCCAAACCTGTATCCAAATTTTTTTGGCTTTTTCACATAACCACCACATATGATAGTAAGTCCCTGTTTGTTTGTTTTTTTACAGTTCTGATATTTTTGCCAATCTCACAGGGGTGAAATACCATCTATGAAACATTTTAAGTATATTTTCTCTAAGGTTCACTAGCTTAGTCATTTTATGATTCTCTTTCCACATCTTTGTCCATTCATCAATATCAATATTGTACCCAGAATTTTGCGCCCATTTTACCATTGTCTCTTTCACCCTCGCATCCTTCAAGTCATATACCAATAAATATGTATACATATTTTAAAGGTTTTATTATGACTTTCTTTGGAGAGACTGGGATGATGATGAAGATAGTGAGACATATGCTGCACTGATAGAAGAGAGAATTAAAATGTAAGTATTCTTAGGTTAAGCTGTCACAAATAACAGATGAGGTGGAAAAACTAAGTTTGAGTTGTGGTTGCTCGTAAACCAGTTGTGGGTGGTTTGGCCTGCGGGCAACATGCAGCTCCCCAAGACTCCCTGATCCCCAGAGAATTTTTGTGTCTCATCTATAGCAATTGTGCCCACAAGACAAAATTAGAAACAGTACTCCACTGTTTTAGACTTTTGAGAGGTATTTTTAAAGGCAGAAGTAAGCGCCCCCTTCAAGGTATAGGTTGTATAAAAGTTGCCTGCGCTTGTGATAGAGATTCACATGTTGGAATATTTCTTCACAAAAAATACTGTAGTATATTGAAGGTTAGCTTCATTGGGAGCTTCTTTCTTAAGAGGCATGTATCCTATATAGTTCTCTTCATGGATGGCTGCCTTGTCATGGCAAAGGGGCTTGAGTAATTCAGAGAAACGATGGGCTATGCCATGCAGGGACACCCAGGACGGACAGGTCAAAGTTCTGACAACGCAATCCACCTGGAGCAAGAATTGGCAAGCCACTCAAGTATCTTTGCCAAGAAAACCCCATGAACAGAAACAAAAGGCTAAAAGATATGACGATGGAAGGTGAGCCCCTCAGATCGGAAGGCGCCCAACATGCTGCTGAGGAAGAGCGGAGGACAAGTACAAGTAGCTTCAGACAGACCTAATGAAGTGGTTCGGCCAAAGCCGAAAGGACACTCACCTGCGGACATGCCTGGAAATGAAAGGAAAGTCCGATGCTACAAAGAAAAATACTGCATAGGAATCTGGAATGTAAGATCTATGAACCGTGGAAAGCTGGATATGGTCAAACAGGAGATGGCAAGAATAAACATTGACATCCTGGGCGTCAGTGAACTAAAGGTGGGAATGGACGAATTTGGTTCAGACGATTACCATATCTACTATCGTGGGCAAGAATCCCGTAGAAGAAATAGAATAGAACTGATAGTCAACAAAAGAGTGGAAAAAGCTGTACTGGGATACAATCTTAAAATGATAGACTGATTTCAATATCAATCCAAGGCAGACCTTTCAACATCACAGTAATCCACGTTTATGCACCAACTACCAATGTTGAAGAGGCTGAAATTGACCAATTCTATGAAGACTTACAACACCTTCTAGAACTGACACCAAAGAAAGATGGGATTTGGAATGTTAAAATAGAGAGTCAAGAGATAAAAGGAACAACAGG